CCCCGGCCCGCCCCGCCAAGGGCAGCGGCCCCTCCCGCTTATCTGGCCCATACACCACCAGGCGCTCCCGCTGCAGCCCGCCGTGAAGAGCCCGGCGCGCGGGGGAGGGATGGCGGACTAGCACTAGGCTCCTCCTGCGGGGAGGGGGCCGCCCCAATCTCCCCGGCAGCGCCGGGCTCCGCGCCCCGTGCTCTAACCGGCGCTAAGCCCCCGCCCGGCTCCCCGCGCCTCACCTCAGCCTGACACTCCTCCCCGGGGTCTGGGAGGAACCACAGCCTCCCTCACCCTGCTCCTAACTCGTCTGCTGGGCGGCTTCACTCGCAGCCCTTCAATGGCTCGGCGCTTTCGGCCCGCACTTGAGGCTGAGGAAGGGGCTCTGTGGGGACCCTAGCGAGCGGGCGGGGCCGGGCGAGCGCGGGACTACTCCCAACCGCCGTCGTCCCCCTGCCCCCCCTCCCCCGGGCTACTAACGTGAGAAGCTACTCTGTGTTCCCACCTGCGCCGTCTTCCCTTTCTCGGGCTTCTTTGTTTATTTGTTAGTGGCTTTTTAATTTATTTGTTCTTTCATCCTACCTCCCCATCTAAGCCCTCTTACTTCCACTTTCTCTGGGAGGTTGTAAAGTCGGGCTTTGTGTCGCTTCTGCTGCGCAGCGGGGCGGGATTTCCCTGCTACGCCCTCCCTCTCGTCCCCGCCCTTCGCAGGGCTCCCGATGCAGCCTGGGAGTTGTAGTCCAACCTTTTCTTGTCAGCTGGCTACTGCGGGCTGGGAGCTCCCCCACACGCCGGTCGGGGGTTTGCCCACAGGGTTGAATGGGGAAGCTGCGGAGACTGGCCGAACCGCGGATGTCCTCACAGACTGAGTGTGGAAATCACAAACGCTGCCTAGATTCTTAGCTGGGAAACGGGAGGGGTATTGCACAAAGCCCCAAGTGCTGGGAGGCTTTCCTGCAACGCGACATTCACGCACCAGGAAACCCTCCACGCATTCAGCTCCCTAGCGGGGAACAGGAATCTGCGAAAGTTGAAAGATGAAAACTGAGTCCAGTTTCCTGGAGCCGGCACATCCCGGCCGCTCCCACCCTTCGCACACCGCCATCTGGGGCCGGGGCGGGGCCAGGGCAGTTGGCGGAAAACTTGGCTTCACTGTGAAAGTAGAAAAGCAATGTGTAAAGGGAGTTGAGGATGGCCTTCTCCCACCAGCCCAGCCGTGGGGAGGGCGCAGTCACACCACAGACCTCTTCTAAGGTCCTGGAGGGCCTTTACAGTGGGTCTCAGGCGTTTGTGATTTCAACAAACCTTTCCTCCTGTTTTTTTTCTACCGGGTACTCAGAGACTGAACACAGACCCGTCCAAATGTAGCCACAGGGTTCAAACGCGTGAAAACTACATGCTAGAATGAAATGGTTGCACATGCCAAAGGAAACAGGAAAGGACAATGTCTCTGAAACAGATCTAAGCAGCTTTCCTGAAAAACCGAATGAAAATCCCGGAATGTCCATAGGTCCAAGACCATAAACAGCATCTTGGGTTTAACTGAGGCTTTGGAATGTGGGAAGGCTTTGAAGGAGCCCAGAAAACAAAGTCCTGGGTGGAGGGAGAGGTCAGATGTAAAGTACAGGACAACCTAAGAAAAAGAACAACAGTGGCAGTAACCCAGGACACATGGGGGGCGGGGGCATTACAAATGAAAGTTGAAACCCCAATGTATCTTCAGAAGCAAACTATGAAATTTGACCTTGATTCTGGGATCAGGGAGGAGCCCAACCACAATAAGTGCAAATGAGGGAAACCCAAGTTAGTTCCCAAACTGTCCTAACTGCTTAGAAGTAAATAAAGTCAAGCATTTCCAGTTCCTTCCCTTCTCTGACTCCTCTATTTTCCCCACACTGGATTTTTAAAATGTCTTAAATTTTTATTAATTGGATAGTAAGATATTTTATTGACAAATGGATGAAGATTGTGCCCTCTACTAAAAAGAATTGTTTTGAAACAGGGTGGCCCCCAGGTTTACTTTCATTGAACACAAAATGACCTTAATTTCATTTACTAATTATTTGCTGAACAACTACTATGAGAGTAACAGTATTCTAGATACTAAGGTGGGTGGAAGAGGAGGTTATTGACACTCATTCCAGGCAGAAGTCTAGTTTTATCAATAAAATACATCCTGATCAACAAAATAAGTAATAGAAAACTAATTCAGTTTGGGATGAAAATGCCACATCCACACAGATGGAGGAAAAAATACTCTGCTTATAGATTTATGCATATAAACTTAAAATTGAAACTATTTTTGCTGTATTCTCTCACAGTTGGGTTTTTGTCATATTGCTACAGCTTTAAAAGCAATGACTTTAAGATCCCTCAGGACATAGCAGAACAGTTGCTCATATTTCATGTTGTTAGAATTCCACTATCTCTTTGTCCTCCTCATTTATTTCAGCACGCCTATACTCATGAGTCCAGGGTAATTTGCTCCACTGTGAAAATGCAGTTCCATACCAATCAAAATATACTTAGCAAAACATGAGATTTATGCAAAAGCAATTTTTTCCCATATCCCAAATTCACCCTGAAATTAGAGCGACACTCTCATAACCCTGTAGTCGCTCCTTGGTGCGGTTTTATTAAGACAAGAAGAAATTATTTTTGTTCTTTTCAGTGCCTCTTCACAGTTTCCAAAGAAAACCCAGGTGTTGTAGAAAGCTGTTGTGGATGACTATGAAAAGCAGACCATCAGCTACCATTTCTGTTTGGCCAACTCCATAAACAGAGCTGAAGAAACTGACTTCCTCCTGCCTAAAATGTCACAGCCAGTGGCACATAATGCCAACTGTTTGAAGTGTCAGCTGACTGCATGAAGCCCCAACATCCCTCAGGTGGGAATTCAGCAAGTCCTTGGACCTCAACTTGACTAGAGAGAACGCTTGCTGTTCAGGTAGGGACAGAGCAATCCTGTTGCCCAATTTCCACTTTATGAAGAAAATCAAATGGCTTGCAGGTTGGTCATTCAGTAAATCAACAAGAGGTGACTGGTGAGGGTGAGGAATAATCACTTTTTCCAGCTAATCTTATTTTAAAAAAAAAAAACGAAGTTACATCTCAGTTTAAATAAAAAAATCACTGTCCTTATGATTTTTCAGGGACTTTCCTTTGCTTTTAGGAAAGACCAGAAACCTTCCTTAACATCACCTACAAGGTCTTGAATATGTGACCCCTGCCCTCCTCTCTAGCTTCAAGTGGTCAGCTGTCCCTCTGACTCACCAGGCTCCACCCCACTGGATGCCTCTCATTCCTTGAATTCCCCTTCTCTCCTGATAGCATTCGCACAGGCAACCATCTCTGCTGGAATGTTTTTATCCATCTTAGCTTTTCATCCTTCAGATTTCAGCTTAAATGTCAATTCTTCAGATGAGATCAGGGCTTTCTGTTATTGTGCTCCAAATAGCCCATATTAATTACATCCTAGGATACTGACATGAGATAGAGAACAGCACAAGTCCAAGGGGACTGAGGATGAGCTAATATTGTTTTGCTTTCAAAACAGGGAAGTAGATGTATTCTAGCAATCATACATGATATGAAAGGCAGGCAAGGGTCTAGAATTGTCCATTAAAAGGATGGGGTCAAACTGCAAACATAGATTTGTTGTAGAGCAGTTATCTAGCCGAAGCCATGGTTCAGTCTGAAGTACCAGGAAAAGGTAAGTTTGTTTTAATCAATAGACAAGAAGCTACAGTCACTTGTAACCACAGTGAGTTCATTGAGATGTAGTTTAGCCTTCAACAGTCTGAGGAATTTTTTTTTAATTTATTTTTATTTTATGTGAGTGTTCTGCATGCATTATATACCACATGTGTGCAGTGCCCTAGGAGACCAGAAGAGGGCAATGATCCCCAGAAACTGGAGTTAGGATATTTTTTAGCCATCATGTGGGTGCTGGGAACCAAACTCTGGTTCTCTGCATGAGTAGCTAGTGTGCTTAACTGCTGAGCCATCTCTCCAGCCCTGAGCAAATTATTTCTAAATTAGAATTATACACCCACAAAACTATATTGGGAGAAGAAAGAAAAGGTTAGAAAGGATAAAGCATAAAATACTAAATCTTTATGTTCTATAATAAGAAGTCATTAGGTCAGGATAAATCTATATAAATTTTACTTCAAAATAAGGGCATAGGTGGGTGTGCTAGCTCATGACTACCATTCCAGTACTTGAGAAGCTGAAGCAGGAGGGTCAACAGCTCAAAGCCAGCCTGGGCCATATAGGGAGACCCTGCCTCTAAAGAATAAAACAAAACATCAAATAAATGAAGAGGTAGGGCAAGGGGTATAGCTCAGTAGCATAGTGTGGCCCTAGCATGTAAAAAGCCCTGGATTCAATCCTAAGCACCACAAAAATAAAATATAATAATAAAAACGTTTTAAAATAAAGAGGTTAAGAGCAGAAGAAACAGATGAAATGATGTTGCCTCTAAGAACAAAAGTGGGATCAGAATGCTAAAATGGCTTGGACCACTGGTGCACACCTGCAATATGAGGTACTCCAAAAATTTGTTTAGCTTTTAAACAAAGGGCATGCATTCTTTTCCTAAAAGTTTATTTTGAAAATAAGAATTTGGATACACAGATATGAAACAAGAAAGCATTCCAACCAAGAGAAATGCTAAAGATGTGGAAGTGTGGACCCAGCATGGTGGTGCACGCCTGTAATCCCAGCACTGCGGAAGGTGAGCTCCAGGCCAGCTAGGGCTACAACATGACACCTTTCTCAAACAAAAAAAAATGTGGAAATAAAAATATTCTACTAAGTAATGTAAATAGACTTTCATGAAGGAGCAATGAGTTCACATTGAGTAGTCTAGTAAACTCTGTGTGTGTGTGTGTGTGTGTGTGTGTGTGTGTGTGTGTGTGTGTTACTGATGATAAAATCTCAAATCCAGGGCATCATGCAGGCTATGGAAGTGCTGTTCCACTAAGTTAGCCTTCTAGCTTTCTATCTCAGTCCTAATAATATAAAATTGGAATACACATTCCATTCAATGAGAACACAAAGACACAGGACCTAGAAAACAAGGATAAACATAAAATAGAAGGAAAGGAATCCACTGGATAATAATGGATGGTAATCCAAAATAAATAGTTCCATGGCCCACCTAAAGAGGCTGAAAGGAAGTGAAAAGAGGAATGCTGTAGGGAAAAAACATCCTTGTTACTTCATGTGTTTGACTATACAGAGAACAGTATTAAGAAGAAAGGAGCCTAGCATGGTGGTGTACACCTTTAATCCCAGCACTGGGAAGGCAGAGGCAGATGAATCTCTGTGAGATCTAGGCCAACCTGGTCTACATAGGGAGTTTCAGGCCAGCTGGGGCTACAGGAGATCCTGTCTCAAAAAGACCAAAGAAGAAGAAAGGTTTTGCCTGGCATGGTGGCACATGCCTGTAATCCCAGCCA